GAGACCCAACCCAGGGGTCACAGCTGCCTCACAGTGCCAGAGACCCAGGTTTAAGCCCACCCTTGAGTAACTGTCTGTGTGGAGGTTGCACATTCTGCCTGAGTTTGCGTGGGTTTCTTCTGGGTGCTCTGATTTCCTCCCACAGTCCAAAGATGTGCAGGTTAGGTGGGTTGGCCATGCTAATTATAGAATTATACAGCATGGAAACAGACCCTTTGGTCCAACTCATCTACACTGACCAGACATCCTTGTCCCATTTGACACATGTCCTTCTAAACCCTTCCTATTCATATAATCCAGATACATTTTAAATGTTGTAATTGTCCCCAACTCCACCACTTCCTCCGGCACCATACACGGACCATACTCTGTGTGAATAGGTTAACCCTTGGGTCCCTTTTAAATCTTTCCCTTCTCACCTTAAACCTATGCCGTCTCAGTTTGGACTCCCTTAACCTGGGAAAAAGGCCTTGTCCAAGCTTTTCATGATTTTATAAGCCTCTGTAAGGTCACTCCTCAGCTTCCAAAGCTCCAGCACAAAAAGCCCCAGTCCAGGCAACCTCTCTCTGTAACTCAAACCATCTAGTCCCGGCAACGTTCTTGTAAATTGCCCCATAGTGTCCAGGGATGTGCAGGCTGGATGGGTCAGCCATGGTAAGTGTGGGGTTATGGGGGATAGGATGGGGAGGACCTGGGTCTGGATGGGATACTCTTCAGAGGAGCAGTATGGACTCGATGGGCTGAATGGCCTCCTTCCACATTGTCGGGATTCTATGATCCTAACCCTTGGATGTTTACCCCCATGGCAGCCACGTTAATGCACTAAGCCACTAAGCCAAAGAGGCACTTGTTCAAAACACAGCAGTCAATCATTCCTTGATTTCTCATCTTGCTTTCCAGATGTCGATGAGTGCTCCTCATATCCCTGTCACAACAATGGGACATGCAGAGATGGACAGAATGCCTTCACCTGCCAGTGCCCTGCTGGGTTCACAGGACTGCTCTGCGAAACAGGTTCAGATTGGTTTCACCTTCCTGTGGTTCGGGGACATTTGGTTGCATTGTGCCCGCTGCTGGTTTCAGAGCATGAGCACCGCTCTGCTTAAGAACGTGTGTTTATCTGCAGTGAGGCATGCTTGCCAATGCTTCAGTTCTCCCATGGAGCGCTCACTGACTCATACCTCAGGGCATGCACATTGATTGGAGCATCCATCACGCCAACAGGAACCTGCTGTTGCTGGCACCCACTTCAAACGGAGCGAATTCTGTTCAAATCTCGAAAGACAGGCCAGTTGTGATTTGAGATTTGTGATTTTAGAGTAGGGACCTCTTCGATTGTACTGAGCGTGCATTTTTTTCATCCAGTATTAACCAAATTCCAGGCATCGGCAGAGTTAATATCCAAAAGCCATGAAATTATTGAGTTATATCCAGGGATGTACACTGAGTCAGTGAAAGCAGGGATTGGGGATGATGGCTATACTATGTGGTGTCACAGCCATCACTGCTGTGCTCACTGATAGGACGTGGCACAATGATCTCAATCCTCCTGTGTATTGTATTGATAATCTCTGCATTCTCCAATCATTCCATCATGACACAACCAGAGTAAACAAACTAAGTACATCTCCCAACTCTCCACTGCCTCAATTGTCACACTGCTTACCAACAGCTAAAATTCAATGAGCTGCTCTTTTCTTCAGCTCATCACTTGGAAAGCTAACGGTATGTTCTTTGTCTCTGCTGTAAGTTCAGCAACGCTTTCAATGACTCCATGCTGAAGCAGCCTTTTCACAAAGTCAGCAACCCATTCAACCCTGAGTTTCAGGTCCATGTTACCTTCTTCACAAAACTGTCTACTTAGAGTCATAGAGTCATAGAGCTGTACAGCACGGAAACACACCCTTCAGTCCAACTTGTCCTTGCCGACCAGATATCCTAAATTAAATTAGTCCCTTTTGCCAGCATTTGGCCCATATCCCTCTAAACCCTTCCTATTCATATACCCATCCAGATGCCTTTTAAATATTGTAATTGTACCCGCCTTCCTCTGGCAGCTCATTCCATACATGCGCCACCCTCTGCGTGAAAAAGTTACCCCTTAGGTCCCTTTTAAATTTTTCCCCTGCCATCTTAAATCTATGCCCTCTAGTTTTGGACTTCCTCACCCTGGGTAAAAGTCCTTGGCTATTTACCCTATCCATGCCTCTCATGATTTTCTAAACTTCTACAAGGTCACCACTTAGCCTCCAACATTCCAGGGAAAATAACCCAAGCCTATTCAGTGTCTCCCTATACCTCAAATCCTCCAATCCTGGCAACATCCTTGTAAATGTTTTCTGTACCCTTTCAAGTTTCGCAACATCTTTCCTATAACAGGGAGACCAGAATTGAACATGGTATTCCAAAAGTGGCCTAACCAGTGTCCTGTACAGCTGCAACATGACCTCCAACTCCTTTACTCAATACATTGACCAATAAAGGCAAGCGTACCAAACACTTTCTTCACTATCCCATCTACCTGTGACTCCACTTTCCAGGAACTATGAACCTGCACCTCAAGGTCTCTTTGTTCAGCAACACTCCCCAGGATGTTACCATTAACTGCATATGTCCTGCCCTGATTTACCTTACTAAAATGCAAAACCTCACGTTTATCTAAATTAAACTCCATCTGCCATTCCTCGGCCCGTTTACCTATCTGATCAAGGTTCCATTGTACTCTGAGTCTCATATAACCCAATTCCATCCCTTCCTTAGCTGATTTGCAGCTGAAATCCTCCGCTATCTTTTTAACCTTCTGGTGGATCTAATTCAATCATTCCCTGAACCGCGGTTCCATAAACAGTTTGCTCATCTGGCACTGTGGTAACTGTACCCTGTCCTGCACCAATTCCACTCACCCATCACCTTTTACATTGGCCAGTCTTTGTGTAAACCTTCTTCAGCCCTGCAACCTCTGCCTTCAAATCTCTAATGCTCTGATCTGGGCATCTCTGTCCCACCTTCACTCTCCCACTGATGGATTACTGGTGTTCAGCCACCTTGACCATACAGTCTCGAGTTAGCTCTGCAAAATCCTCTGCCTCCGTACCTGCCTCTTCTTTCAAAACTGTCTTAAATTCCATCGCTTTGATCATGCCTTAGATCACCCCCTCCTCTTTTGACTTGGTGCCCCTCTGTTAATAATATAGCTGGGAAGGGATGTAGGGGTATTTTTTGCACATTATAGGTGCTATCTAAATGAAAATGGTTTGCGTGGATAATACTGAAATTTATTTACTTGGTTCCCCACTCGATGGAGGCTGTGCAGGCATGGATATTGAGAGAAAGTGGAGGAAGTGGTCAAATTGGGTCTATTTGTTGCTTGTCCTCTTGAGGCTATGCTGCAGTCTGTCTCTCCTTGGCTTACCCCTCCACTGTCAAGCCTGTCCTTGCTGTTTTGAAAGGCAGGCCGCTAGACTGTCCACAAAGGTGGTGAACTGAGACCCTGCCTCCAATTTCCTCCTCTCTGCTGTACATGGAGGTTATGAGGAATTTAGTCCATGGATGGCTGTAGGTTAGACTAATAGCACCTCTCAGCCCCATCTCAGCACAAAAAATATTCGTGCTTTTAATTTAGTTGCACGATTGAGAAGTTTGAACTCTCCTGCCCAAGGGTTGAAGATTGTACCTGGATGTGTGCGTATCTCAAATCCCTGTATCCACTTGTTCCTCCCACTCAGATATTGATGACTGTGTATCGAATGAATGCCAGAATGGAGCCACATGTATCAATGGGATTGACAGCTACCACTGCGAGTGCTTGGTTGGGTTTATTGGAAAACACTGCGAAATTGGTGAGTATCGTCAAGTAACACCAGGGACGAGAGTCAGAGGTTAACATTGAGGACAGAGTCACGAGTAACGCTGGGGACAGGATTCACAGAGTAATGCTGAGGGCAGGGGTCACAGAGTAACGCTGAGGGCAGGGGTCACAGAGTAACAATGGCTTGTGTATTTTGAAGTAATGTTAATCAGTATATAACAAACCTCAAACTGAGCCCAGACACAGAATGCTGCAGGGAGTTACGTACTGAATATGAGTTGTCATCTGAGGAAAGTTTCTCAGTGTGGGGCTGTGTTACAGAATAGTACCAAGCAGAAGGAAGACTGTGAAGGGTCACAGCTGGAGAGTAATGCCCAACAGGTGTAAAAATATTGCAGAGTAATGTTAATCAAGGGATAGAATATAACTTGGGAAAAGACTTCCCGCACTGTCGTTGCTAGCCCCACAGTGAGATCCCAGGATGGTACTGAGGGACTGTGAGCTCTCAGACAGACATGGTAACCGTGTGGCTCAGACTGACTTTGGAGACCCGCAAGGCTCCTATTACTCTGCGTGTTTGTTGGTGGGTATACCGAATGGACTGATCTCTAAGCTGCCAAAGCTGCTGCAGAACAAGTACTTTGAAAAGGTTGATTGTTTTTGTGGAAATCCTGACTCCCCACCCCACCCAGGCTCAATTCCTCTTCTTCGACTGCACTCCCTTACCCCAGTCAAGCAATAAAGACCACCCTCCTCTCCAAAACTTTCCCGCCCAGCAGCTTCCTGCTACAGCAGATGCCTCATCACCCAACTCCCACCCACTTTTGATTTGGTTTGATTTACTTATTGTCACATGTATTTTGTTACAAAATGCAGTGAAAAGTGTTGTACAGTGTCACCACTCTCCAGCGCCATCTTGAAACAGAAAAATAAGCCAAAACATAGAATATAAAGGCAGAAAAATAAAGAAATAAAGAAAAAGTGTCCAACTTTATAATCCTTCTTGTTAAGTGCTCCGCCACGGGCCTGGTGGCCAGGCATGAGTCCCCTTCACCACTGGGCCGAACGTCTCCACTCTTCGGCACCATCTCGCCCCCACCGATGCCCTCGCCACTGTGAGTCCTCACTGGACCTCGCCAATGTGGATGCCACCAGGTGCCACATTGGCGTAAACTCCAGTCTGCCACCGCCCCACCGTGTCTGCTTCAGGGCCCTCCTCGCCGATGCATCTGCTGCTGTGATGCTGTCGGGTCCTGTACTGAGCCCAAACCCGCCACCACCACCGCCTCCGTGAATCTGCGCCAGACACAGACGCCACCTCGAACCCACGCTCGCCTCCACCGCCGCCAGCACGAGTCTGCGCTGGTCTCACTTGCCGCCGATGCCGTCGCAGCAACTGAGCTCTTCGACTAGAGGTGAGTAAAATGAAAGAGAGAAAAGAAAAAGAAGAAAAACAAGAGAGAAGCAAAGAAACAAAAAGTAAAGCGTACGGAGTGGATGAGCCCTGAGCTCAGAAGCCCTACTCCTCCACCATCTTATCAGAACTTGCTAACACCTCCCACCACTCATTTGACGTTTCTGGTGGTCCCCACATTTTTACTGTGGGTTCTCATAGGACATCTCCGCAGGAGTTCCTCAGGGTAGTGTCCAAGGCCCAACCGTCTTCAGCTGCTTCATCAATAACCTTTCCTCCATCATAAGGCCAGCAGCGGGGATGTTCGCCGATGATTGCACATGTTCAGCACCATTTGCAACTCCTCAGATACTGAGACAGTCTGTGCCTAAATGCAACAAGTAAAGGGAAGACCTTTTAGAATGGGGATAAGGAGAAACTTCTTCAGCTAGAGAGTGGTGAATCTATGGAATTCACTGCCACAGAAGGCTGTTGAGGCCAGACCATTGAGTACATTTAAGACTGAGATGGATAGGTTCTTGATTATCAAGGGGATCAAGGGTTACGGGGAGAAAGCAGGAGAATGGGGTTGAGGAACTTATCAGCGGTGATTGAATGGCAGAACAGACTTGATGGGCTGAATGGCCTAATTTCTGCTCCTATGTCTTATGGTCTTGTAGCAAGTAACATCTGTGCCATACAGGTCACAATCAATGGTCATCTCGAACAAAAAAGATTGTAACCTTCACAGCTTGACCTTCAACTGTATTACTGTCACTGAAACCTCATGATCAAGAATTAGCATTGACCTGAAACAGAACCAGAGCAGTCATATACATACTCTGGCAACAAGAGCAGGTCAAAGGCTAGGAATACCGCAGAGGTTAACTCACCTGTCTCCCAATGCCTGCCCACCATCGACAAGGCACAAGTCAGGAGTGTGATGGAATATTTGCCGGGACAAATGAAGCTCCAACAGCACTCAACAAGCTTAACACCATCCAGGAGAAAGCAGTCTGTTTGACTGACAGCCCGTCGACCACCTTCAACATTCACTCCCTTTACCAGTGACACACCGGTGGCAGCAGTGTGTACGGTCTACAAGAAACACTGCTGTAAGTCACCAAAAGCTCCTGCAACAACACTTTCCAAACCCAGGATATTTAGCAGCTGGAAGGACAAGGACAACAGTTTCAAAGGGACACCAGCACCTGCAAGGTCCCCTCCAATGTTATTGTTCCTTCAGCGTCTCTGGGTCAAAGATGAGGAACCGGCCCCCCTCTCTAATAGCTTGTGGGTGTACTCACAACTCCTCAAAGATGGCGGCAGATTAGAAGCACAGCGTGCAGGCTCCTGCTCGAGATTTAATCTTCTCCGTCCGCCTTTATTCGTTTCTTTCCTTTCACTTTTTTTTTTGCTTCTTTCACTACTTTTTTTTCTTAATTTAATCTACTTACTTAATGTGAGGTGGGAGAGGGGGAGCAGGCAGAATGAGGCAGCCAGTAGTGGGGTTGAAGCAGGAGAGATCGATCCCTTGTGAGGAGTGTGAGCCCGGCATGGCCAGGCGCTTACAGACTGTGGTGTTGAACTATTAAGTGTGTGTTTCTTTGTTTTTCTATGTTTTAATAAGAAGGACAGTAATGTTTAACTTTTTAACTTTGTTTTCTTATTTTTCTGCTTTGTATCAAGACTCTGTACCTAGGGACCTGTGTATTTAAGATAGCACTGTACGTGGTAACTTGTAAACTTTTCACTGTACTCATGTGAATATTTGTGATAATAAAACTAATTCAGTTCAATACGCCCCAACATCTGCAGTGGTTCAAGGTGGCAGCTTCATCGCCACCTTCTCAAGAGGAACTAGGGATGGGCAATAAGTACTGTCTTAGCCAGCAACACTCACATCCTGTGAACAAATAAAAATAAAGAATCTGAATTATTAATATGGGGTCATATTGGGAACACGTTTGGGAAACACTGATTTGGGAAAATAAGATTACCTCAGGGTAATTTCCGTAACCCAGATCCGAGCAGGAGAGAGTAAAGCTGAGATTGGTCATCAAGTAATGTCGGTACAGGTCAGAGTAACAGAAAAATGGATCAAAGAGTTCCATTTAACACTAAGATGTTTAAGTCTATTCCAGAGTGAAATTGAAATTGGCTACAACAATGTTTCTCAATTAGCGGAATGTGTCCCAATTAGATAGGATGCAGTTTCAAAAATAATTATTATGCATTCCGAAAGTATTGAGATTAGAATTAAGATATTAGCGATTTATATTTATTTTGTATGCATGCTACTCGATTACCGATAGGAGAAAGCATGGATTATTCAGCCAGTGGGATGGTCTGACCAATAGGACAGTCCAGACAGTGATGTTCCTGGGAAAGGCAGGGGGTCTGTAGGTGACACCAAAGCTTTTGACAAAATGGTTTTTGGCAGGTTGAGACCCGCTTGGCGTTTTACAATCAGATGTTATCAGTTTAACCTGCTGTCATGTCTTCCAGTTACATCTGACTCCTTATGTAACACCAGAGAGTGTCTAAATGGTGGTGTTTGTGACACAGATAATGGAACTGCGGTGTGTATCTGTCAGAAGGGCTACACAGGGGAGAACTGTGAAAATGGTGAGCTCCTCTCCTGCCTCTCCTCTCCTCGGCCATCTTCAAACTTTTCAAATTGCTATTTCTCTTTTTAGGCACTCTGGATTTACGAAGAAGAAATGTGCTTACATTTCTATCATGCCTTTCATGATCTCAGAACCTCCCATTCGTTCTGCGTCCAATGAAGAGCTTTCAAAGTGTAGTCAATGTTTAATGTAGGAAACGTGGTAACTAATGTACACACAGCAAGTTCCTCCATACAGCAATGTGGCCTTGTGATTGAGAAATAATGGCCAGATTACTAAGGAGAACTTTTCTGCTTGTCTTTATACTGACTGTTGGAAAACTTAATGACCAACTGAGAGGCAGACACAACTTCAGTTCAACATCTAACCTGGTAACTGGCGCCTCCTAGAGTGCATCAACCCTCAGTGCTGCACAGGGACGTCAACTTCCAGTATCTGAAGGGGAATTGGTTCCCACAGCCTTCTGACTGTGAGATGGGAATATTACCACTGAGCCCTAGCTGATAGTTGTCTGCTTGATCTCCCTCTTCCACTCTCCCTGTTATTAGTTCAATGCCACACACATTGCCTCCCTGTGCCTCTACACTTATATCCTTCACTTGGATTTTACTCTCCCCTGCATTTGTCTGCACCTTCTGTGCTCAGTTATCACAAAATTGGAGACAGCTCTCAACACCATTTCCCTGGCAATGACAAGGCAAAGCAGATCTCCTCCCCTCTGTACCTGCCCATGGGGTTATTTGAGGGTTAGGGTTAAAGTCACAGTACAGCTCTGTAGAAACCTGCTCCTTTTTGGGGATGACTATATCTGCCATTGTCCAAGGTGACACTACCAGTGAATTTCATTGACCATGAGGTGGACTTGTGAGAAAGTCTCCCTCTCTGTCTCTGTCTCTCTCTCTCTCTCTCTCAAAGTTAATTCAACTTGTCCCAGGGGCACTCTGAGATGTTTCTCTTGCTGGTGGACATTGTATCACCTGCAATGCCCTCGTTAATTTTGCTGGCGTACAGCACAAAGTAATTTGTGATAATTATTTGTTGTTCAAGAGTGGTTTTAGTGTGAGTGTGTTGAGTTAGGTCCTCACAATGCTGTTTCTTTTATGATAGAGACTAGCAACTGTGACTCCAACCCGTGTTTGAATGGAGGAGAGTGCATCGACCTGCTCAGTAATTACACATGTCTATGCCCTCAATCATACACAGGAAAGCACTGTGAGACAGGTAAGAGGAAATCTCTAGTAGTGATGTGGCATTCATTGTAGCATTGTAGGGGCTTCAGTAGCTGGGCATCATTTGGAGTGGATATTGCATGTCACTAAGCAGCCACCGCTCAGGTCTAGTTGTAGATCTGACAATGTTGGGGACCTTTGCAGGGCAAGATGTCATGGCGGTTGTCTAGGAGTCCTTCGCACACTTGCATAAAGACCTGTTTGCACACCAGCTCCATCTTCACGGAAAGGAATCACTAGTGTTTTGAAGAGTGCTACTGGTTGATCTGAATAAACCAGAACAGTCACATATATGCAGTTGGTTGACCCTGCACCTGTGGAAAGACAGTCTGAGTCATTTAAGCTGTGTGTCCATTCATTCTGATTGGCATCAACACTGGTCAAGTTCACACAACTGTTGACCTTGACTAAAACCCACCCTATTTTAATGCATTTAGTGTGTAGCTGCCAGGGAGATTCTGGGTACAGGTAGTTCCCCTATAACACGATAGCTGCATTCTTGTGTGACCTCGCACTGTAGAAAATCACACTATAGAAAATCGTCATAGAAAATCACGTCGTAGGGAAATTGCTATAGAAAATCTCTGCACCTGTACAGCAGAAAGTTTGCGTTTTCCAAAAGTGTCCACTATTCATCATTCGTGTTACAGCCAATTTGTGTTAATGAAACACACATTAAAGCACAACTACCTGTATGTCTGCAGCACAGCCCTCGGAAATGATCTAGAGGCCAAATCGTTAAGTGCAGATTATGACAGCAACTGGTAAGGAATAGCCATCAAGTCAGCAGGTAGTCAATCATCTGCTGCCACAGCCTTCCATAACATTCAAAACCTCCTGGAAACAGATCATTGAAGCTCAGCCTCTGTCTAAGGAACTTGATTCATGGGCAATGTCTCCAGTAAATGACTGTTCTCCAGTAAATGACACAAGAAATAGCAGGTTTAGACCATCTAACCAACTGAGCCCGCTCTGCCTTTCTCTGCTCCCTTCTCTGCTCGTCTCCTGTATGCTGCTTCCCTGCCTGGCGATTCTCCCTAACTAGTGATCTTTCCTACCTGTCAATTATCATTCCATTGCTCGTCTTCCTGCATTCCCTTCTCAGTTGGCTTGCTCTCAGCCAAGGCTACAGGTCTGTGCTCTACAAGATGTTCTGCCTTTCCCTCCCCAAGCCCTCACGATGAGACCAGATTGGGTGCAGTGTAAAGCAGTCTCTGACATTGACCTAAACATAGTACTTTCAGAACCATTATCTTAGACAACAGTCCTATCCCCATTGGCTCATGTAAGCTGCTGGCCTCTCAATTGGGCCTGCCTGCAGTTATGGGTGTGTGAGCAGCAGGACACGCTGTTTCTAGTCATCTCAGTTCTCATTTGGGGTCCAATCTAAGACAGGATTGAGCAGCGCCAATTCTGATGTGGTAGACCACACCTCCAAAGTGTGAGAAATAATCTAGTAGCAAAAGTGCTGTGAACAAGTCCTATCCCAACACCCCCAGGTCCACAAGCAGTTCGGTATTTATTGTCATTTCTTCGCTGGGATCAACTCAGTCCTTCAGGTGTAGCTGCGACAGAGTTTTGGGAAGTGAGGGAAACCTGTGCCACCAACCTGTGTGTTACTTTTGCTTTAATTAAACGAGTAACATCTGATAACTACAAACCTGCCTCACCCAAGGGGGGCTGTTCACATACACCCTGACACGCTCATGTTAAACACAAAAGCCCACAGACATCTGCTGGCATCCCATGCTCTGACCTTTTTTTATGTTTCACTCCTTCTCAGCCGTGTCTGCAGAGCCTCCGCCTAGCCCTTGCTCCCTGCATCTCACACTGCAGACCCACATATTCTTACTGGTTAAGGGTGAGCACATTGTTTCAATGAGTGAATGGTACAGCTAACTGACACCGTGGATGGGCTGGTGTATAGTGCAGCATGATGCCAACAGTGTGATTTCAATTCCTAAGGTTACCATAAAGGGCTCTGCTTCTCACGCTCTCCCCTCGTCTGAGATGTGGAGATTCTCAGGTTAAACCATCACCAGTCATTTCTCGATCATGAGAGAGCAGCCCTACGATCCAGTAGGACTTTACTGTTAGTGCCTTGTGTAGGTTTAGCAAATCCACCCCACTCCCACCTACTTTAATACTCCATTCCCTTTAAAATAAAGGCAATGATCTATTTGCCTTCCCAATACCCGCTGAACTTGGATGCTAGCATTTTTTTTGAGTTGTGATCAAGGGCACACAAATCCTTCTCTTCCATGGCTTCCCATAGATTTTCTGTATTTAATAATATTCAGCTCCTCTATTCTTCGTGCCAAAGTGCATAACCTCACATTTTCCCACATTATATATTTACCTACTCGCTTAACTGGTCTATATCCTTCTTTTCACTCTTTTTGTGTTACCTTGCCTTCTCGCCTCATTTTAAGCCATCTGCAATCATGGCTATAGTACATTCAGTTCTCTCATCCAAATCATTATTGTGTATCGTAAATAAATGTGCCCCCAGCACTGATCCCTGTGGCACTCCAATAGATACAAATTGCCATCCTAAAATTACTCTCTGTCTTCTATTAGTTAGTCAATCCTCTATTCATGCTAACATACTACCCCTAGCACCATGGGGTCTTACTTTACTTTGTGAAACACATTCCATATGAGACCGCAGGAATGAATAGGTTCAAACACAATTTCGAAATAATATTCTGGGATGCAGCGTTTGAGTAATTGACATATGGCAACATGTAGTAAGCTGAGGAGAAACAGGTGACTGAATCTCTGGTTCTCAAAACTCTGGAGCTTTCCCACCAAGCATTTGGATTTGTTGTAAATGAATGGTAGAGCTTGGTTACTGTGAGTAGTCAGTGGCTTAAAAATAGTTTTATCATTGGACCATCAGGATGGTCGAAGGAAACAAGATAGTCTTGTCTTCATCTCTTTATTCTAGTCCCTCTGCAAAATTAGCTGCTCCTGATGGTGTAATAAATATCAATGAAAAGACCAAAAGCTGCTCACAATAGGATAGCCTGTAACAGATGATGTTATGCCAAATTATTGGAATGTTATTCTAATAAGATATACAGGGGACGTCATTCCCCATCATATGAACAGAGACTTTTATTCCAAATTGTGTATGTTTAGAGGCAGTACTTACTTAAGACTAGGCAATGTCTGTTATGAAAATAGCAGTCCATACATGCACATTTTTCTAAAGAGTCACAGCCCCTATGCATATTACAGTAAATAGCAGTCCATATGCATTTTATTGTGAAGAGCAGTCTCTGTTTCAGTATTTTCTAACCAGCTTCTTCAGAGATGTTATTATACACCTGTAGAGCAGGTAGGACGTGATTCCAGGCCTCCTGGTCCAGAGGCAGAAACACTACCACTTCACCACAAGAGCTCTTAGCAGCCTCTGTTCATATTATAGAGAATAACAGACCCTGTGTATATTGTAGTGAGTAACATCTCCGCTAAAGCAAGTGACAGACACTATGTATATTGCACTAGATAGCAGCACCTTTATATATTAGAGAGAATGGTTTATTTTGCAGACAGTAGTTGATCTTGTGTAAATATTACAGGATAACAACTTGACAGATGTTCCTGTGTCTTTAAGGCTGTGTTACTGAATGAATTATGCTTGTTTATGAGGCTTGGTATTGCCATCTCTTCCCGTGTCCACTTAGAAAAGCCAGTCGGAGTAATATAGTGGGATTTGGTTCTAATTGGAAGATTCTGCTCTGTGACATTTTTTTATGCTTTTTCCAAAGGTGGGCCCACAGTTGCCCCGAGTGTCTGTCAGCCAAACCCATGTCAGAATGGGGGAAATTGCAAAGAGAATGATGATGATGATGGTTACCTCTGTGACTGTCCTGAAGGATTTACCGGCCGTGACTGTGAGAATGGTACATGTGAGCCTATTGCTGTCCTCGGATGTGCTGTGAGAATTCTAGGCTGGGCTTCAGTGGAACTGTGTTTTCAGCTGTTTATACAGCTCAGAGAATATCTTGCTATTTCAGCGGATCTCAACGGATTTACATTGAGCAGCCTTGTGAATCTGCAATTGGGCCCAACTGCTGTACAGAAAAAAATCAGCGGTGCAATTTTATCTGCTGGTGGGAATCTGAAATGTTTTTCAACCAAATCAGGAGTAAGGAGGAGCTGCCATCTTATTTAAGGGCTGTATTGTACATCTTACTGAGGCTAGCAGCATGGGTGCATCTCTAAGAGGGGCTTCAAGTACTGGAGGCACCTGGATCAAAACGCCCTGTACATTGACAATATCACCATCTATAGCTCGAATCCAGTGGGGATTCACAGACTGGGGACAATGCTTTAGGGAGGCACGGTGCCACGGTGGCTCAGTGGTTAGCACTGCTGCCTCGCAGTGTCAGGGGCCCAGGTTCAATTCCACCCTCAGCCAACTGTCTGTGTGGAGTTTGCACGTTCTCCCCGTGTCTGTGTGGGTTTCCTCTGGGTGCTCTGGTTTCCTCCCACAGTCCAAAGATGTGCAGGTTAGGTGGATTGGCCATGTTAAATTACCGATAGTGTTCAGGGATATGCAGGCTAAATGGGTTAGCCATGGGAAATGTGGGGTAACAGGGATAGGGTAGGGAGGAGGCAGGTCTGGGTGTGATGCTCTTTAAGGATTGGTGTGGACTTGATGGGCCAAATGGCCTGCTTCCACACTGTAGGGATTGTATGATTCTATGAAACCAGTCTCAGGCCCAGAGCAAACCACAGCAAAAGCCAGGTCACATTCTTCAGGAACTTGTCTGATTTTTTTTTTCCTCCTTCTCTGTCGATGCAAAGGTGCAGCAGGGCTTTGCCTGAACAGGCTGGGCAGTGCACTGAGAGGCCAGGACCATTCAGGAAAGTAAAACAGAAGCGCCAATCCCTTTTCCATCATTGAACCTTGTTATGAGGAGTGAGGAGCTCTGTGTCACTGTATCTGGGGCAAATTTGATCCATTTCCATACCCTGCCATGTCTATGTGTTGCAGTCTATCTGGAGATCTAGACTGTGTTTACAGAGACACAAAGTACAAATCACCTTCTGGCAGAATCTTCCTGGAGACAGCTTCCTGATTGGTCACTACCCCATCTCTATTTCTGATAAGAAAGGTGGCTGGTCTCATAGAATCATACAATCCCGACAGTGCGGATGCAGGTCATTCAGCCCATCGAATACACAATGACCCTTCGAACAGCACCCTACCCAGACCCACGTCCCTACCTTATCCCTGTAATCCTGCTGTTCCCATGGCTAGCCCACCTAGCTTGCTCATCCCTGAACACTACGGGCAACTTAGCTTGGTCAATCCACCTAACCTGCACAACTTTGGATTGTGGGAGGAAACCGGAGCACCCGGAGGAAACCTATGCAGACGCGTACAGAATGTGCAAACTCCACGTAGACAGTCACCCAAGGCTGGAATCGAACCCTGGTACTGTGAGGCAGCAGTGCTTAATCGCTGAGCCACTGTGCAGGCCCTGATGCTTTTCCTGATGCTTGCAGCTCAGTCAGAGGGCTAACAACCCTGGAGCCTCAGCAATCCCACTGGGAGAGGTGAGCGCTGCTGAAATAGGTCAGAGACTGTGAGGGCACCTCAAATAGAGGTGTGCAATAAAATTAAAATTAAACAAACAATAATAAGGGGGGAAACCATTAGACCTCTGAGAGGATGTGGAAATCCCCCCATGTTGATTGTTGGGGCTTGCCCTTGTTGCCTGCTTAACCCTCATTGGGTCTTGGAGCCTCTTGGTCTAGCAACCACACTGTCTGCTGCAAAAGAGAGGCCATGTCCTCTGAGATAGTAGCCTCTGCACACAGCAGTTTCCCCACTGGGGTTAAACTCCAAGCAGCCAGAAGTCCAACTCCCCGCTAATGGGGGCCCATCAAACCCCCATTCCACCCTTGGGTTGGAGTTGCCCAACGGTCGAAATGCATCTGTCCTTACTCTGCTCTTTCCTATTTTCCTGCTCCCCTCTGAGTCACCTCACTCCAACAAAAAAAAGGAAAAATTCCATTCTTGCTGTTCATTCCATTGATGGGTTTTCATCTGGTGATACAAGGGATGGCTCTGGCCAGATCACTGGGGAACTGATTGTGACACCTGACTCTCAAGGACATGTTTGACCAGAAGTCAATCAGGCCATGGTCAGCACTTAGCATCCTGGAGTGTTACTGAGTGTTACTGTCTCTTTTTGCCAACAGAGGTGCTGCAGCCCTGCAATGCCCACCATCAGTGCCCGCATGGAGCCTCCTGCACTGAATACGGAGGGACCTATCGTTGTATCTGCCCACAAGGACCTAGTGGGAAAGATTGTGAGTTGTGCATTCATCTATTTCACACTTGGAAGAATAGAGAAATGCACCAAGATATTAGTCTGTAATAGACCACAGGGTCAGAAAGGAGCAACAAACTGTTGGATTACGGTTGAGATACAGTCACTGAGACAGGGCACTGGGGGTGAGATGGAATGAGAAGCAGTGTGAGAAGCTGGATTAATGTCAGCAGATGTCAGATACATCGTAGTTCAACCTAGTACTTTCCACATCATAACCTTTACCACCTTGAGGAATGAGGGCACCAAGCATACAGGAGCACCACAACCTGCAACTACCCTTCTGAGCCACACACCATGCTGACTGGGAACTGTATTGTTGTGCCTTCAATATCACTGGGTCAAAATCCCAGAGCTCGCTCGGAAACAGTACTTAGGGTGCACCGACACCCCAAGTGATTCAACAAAGCCAGTCATCACCTCATCAAGCGTAATTAGGGATGAGGGAAAAAACACTAGTCTTTTCAGTGTTGCTCATTTACCCATAAATCACCATCTTAGTCTGGTGTAGAGGCCATTAGGCCCATAACATCAGCTCTCTGAAAGTACTGAGTACCATTTACTTAGTGCCATTCTCCTACCTTCTCCCCACGACCCTGCATGTTCTTCCTTTTCAATTAACAGTCTAATTCCCTGTTGAATGCCTCAGTTGGACCTGCCTCCACTGCACTGTCAAGCAGAGCATTCTAAGACTTTATTGTGTGAAAAGGTTCTGTTCTCATGTTGACTTTGCATCCTTTTGCTAATTGCTTTAATTCTGTGCTGTCTTGGTTCCGATCTTTTCACAAGTGAGAACATTTTCTCTCTATTTACTCTGTTCAAGCCCTACTTAAATTGAATACCTCAATCATATCTCCTATCAGCCTTCTCTTTTTAAAGGAAAACATGATAACATCTTCAAAAGTGAAGGTCCTCATCCCTGGAGCCATTTTCATAGAGTCATACAACATGGAAACAGACCCTTCGGTCCAACCAGTCCATGCCGAACAGAATCCCAAACTAAACTAGTTCCACCTGCCTGCTCCTGGCTCGTTTCCCTCCAAATCATTCCTATTCATGTACTTAACCAAGTTTCTTTTAAACATTGTAACTATGTCCACATCCACCCCACTTCCTCAGGATGTTCATTCCACACGTGAACCACCCTCTGTGTAAAAGATTTATTCCCCCCACCATGTCTTTTTCAAACTCTCTCCTCTCACCTTAAAAATATGCTCCCTCATCTTGAAATCCGCCGTCCTAGAGAAAAGATAACTACCATTAATTCTATCTATACCCCTCATTATTTTATAAACTTCGAAAAGGTCACCTCTCAAACTCCTATGCTCCAGTGAAAAAAGTCCCAGGCTGTCCAGCCTCTCCTTATAACTCAAATCTTTCATACCCAACAACATTCTGGTAAATCTCTTCTAAACCCTCTTGATGCTCCTTTGCACTCAACTGATGCCTTCACATCCTTCCTAAAGTGTGCTGCTGGACTGAACATAATATTCCAGTTGATTGTGTTTTATACAAGTTTAACATTACCTCCTTACCTGTGCCCCAATAAATAAAGTAAAGGGTCCTGTATGTTCTATTAACTGCTCTTTCTACATGTCTATCAACTTCAATGACTTAATGACATGTATATCTGGGGTGCTCTGATCCTAAATCCCCTTAGAAGCTGAATTTTTTATATTGTCTATCCTTGTTCTTCCTACCTTGAATTGCTCCACATCAACCTTCCTCTGTCCAGCCATTCCACTAAGTTGTCCACATTCTTTTGAAGATGTAAGCTATCCTTTTCACAGTTCACATTGCTCGCAGGTTTTGTGTTGTCCACGAATGTTGAAACTGTGCACCTGTACACCAAGGGTCTAAGTCATTAACATAAAACAGGAAAAGCAGGAATCCAGTGGGAAAGTGCATTACAAACATTCCCTCAGCCCAAAAAACATTCATTCTCTCTACTGTCTTCCTGTTGCTCATTTAATGACATGAGCTTAGTAAATGACCTCATAGAAAAGGCACCCCTAGATGGCAGTGATCATAATATGACTGAATTTTATATTCAATTTGAGGGAGAGAAGGGCGGACTGAGGACTAGTGTTTTAAACTTAAATAAAGATAATTATGAGGACTTGAGAACAGAGCTGGCTGGACTAAACTTGGAAACTAGGTTAAGCAATAGGTTGGTAGAGATACAATGGTAGATACTTAAGAAGATGTTTCAGAATGCGCAGAATTGAGGCGAGAAAGAAAGATTTTTGGAAAGGGATGCACTATCAATGGTTAACTAAAGAAGTTAAAGATGGCATCAAACAAAGAAAAAGCATATAAATCCATGAAGATAAGTGGCAGATCAGAAGATTGGGCGGAATATAAAGAACAGTAAAGAATTATGAAAAGAAAGATGAGGAAGAAGTTAGACTATGAGTGAAAACTGACTGAAAATATATAACCATATAATAGGAGTTTCTATTGATATTTAAAAAAGAAAAACAATACATAAAGTGAAGATTAGCCTTCTGAAAACAGAGACTGCAGAATTAATAGTGGAAAATAAAGACACTGTATATGAATTGAATAGATATTGCATCCACTTTTATTTCAGACAATATAAACAAAATTCCAGAAAAAAAATTGTGAATATGAACTTGAAAGAGATTTAGGAACATACAATAGTTACAATCACGGGAGAAAGGGTATTGAGAAAATTATTAGAACTAAATTCTGACAAGTCTCCTGGCTAAGATGGACTTCAGCCTTGGATATTAAAGGAAGTGGTTTCTGAGATAGAGGATGAATTGGTGTAAACTTTCCAACATTCCCTAGATTCTGGAAAGGTCCCATCAGATTAGAGAATGGTGAATGTGAATTCTGTATTCACGAAAGGGGAGAGTCAGAAAACTAGAAACTACATGTTGGTTAGCCTAACATCTGTCATCAGGAAATTGCTGGGATCTATTATTAAGGAGTTTATAGCAGGACACTTAGAAAATCTTAGGCAGACTCACCATGGTTTTATTAAAGTGAAATTGTATTTGACTAATTTATTAGCATTATTAAGAGAAAGTAAGAAATAACACAGACACAGGAAACCAATGTATGTACTATAATTATATTTGGAGTTTAGAACAATGAAAGGTGATCTTATTGAAACATTTAAGATTGTGTGGAGATTTGGTGGATGGATGTGAAAAAGGTGCTTTTCCTTGTGGGAGAGAATGTAGCTAGGGCACACAGTTTAAAAATAAGAGCTCTCCAACTTAAGACTGCAAGAAGGGAATTATTTTCTCTCAGAAGGTTGTGAGTGTTCTGAGTTTTCTTCAACATAGAGTGGCAGAGGTGCCGTTTAAATGCAACCTGTTGTTGTTGACCTACAGCCATTACTTCAGGAGAAGATGGGGAGAAACTCTGGAAAAGGCAACCACAGCTACATGGGGAATTTGAGAAAACAGATGGAATTCTCTGGGTTTAAAATCAGCATATTAAGCTGAGTGTAACCTAGCAGGAAAGGCTTCGAAGTTCCAACTTTTCGAAAAGTACAGATTGTTATATTCAAGACAGTAAATGGGGAAGATGGGTGATGTGGCAGTGTCACCAGTGGGAGGCAGAATAGGTATTGCCCATCACATGGTCAAGTAGATGTATCATAACTTGACTATTGCCACAGAAGTATTACAATAATAATTAAACATGGTAATAGGAAGTCTCAATAAATTGAATGCATTACAATAAGTAACGTGTTTGGAGACTCCTGAAAGTTTTTATAACAGGAATTCAGTAATACCCCCTGGTGGTGATGCAGAGCATCACACCACAAATTATCAAAGGTACCAGCTGCTCAACTCGCAACACTGCAACCTTGAATGGAAGTTTGCTGCTTATATCTATTTGATGTGTGAGAAATTCATGCAGTGCCTTTTATGACCTCAACTATTCCAAAGCACAGCACCACCACAAAGGTACTTTTGAAGATAAAGTGTTGTCACATATGAAAATTCACATGCATAGCAAGCTCCCACAAGTGGCAGCATGATAATAACAAGAAAATATATTTTAATTATGCTGGCTGAAGGATGAATATTAAGCAGGGAACCCCATAGCTATTCTTTGCCTTTTGATCTTTTATATTCATGTAAAAGTTAAAGTTGCTATAGTCTTACTGACCATAGGGGTTTCTCATCCCATTAGAGAGCAACGACTGGGGGTGATTTAAACTGAGGGTCACCACACCTCAGCTGAAGTTAAATGGGAGAGTGCTTCATGGTAACTGAGCTGACCGACCTCCTAATATTCATGCAAGAGGACAGAAAGGGCCTCAGTTTAGCACCTCCTAAATAGCAGTAACTTCCACAATGCAGCACTCCCTCATTACTGCACTGAAGTGTCATTGTCAATTATGTATCAGTGTCTGGATTGTGATATGAATCCACAGTCTGCTGACCAAAAGGTGAGAGTGTACCATACCTGTACCATAGCTGATGACCATTTCCCAAGTGTATTGTAAAGTTTATGTGTCTGCAAGTTCCAAACAACTGGCTACACATTGTGTGACTGAGGTGCTGTGTTGGAACCATTTCCATCTGTCAATGGATAAACCACCAACACACTCCATTCTAATAACTAAGGAAGTCAAGATGGTTTTAAACTAAACAGTGGGGGGTAAGGGATCAAATATGGAAACCTGTGGTATATCAAAGAGTAGAGACAAGGTAACAGAAGAAAATAGTAATGTGGGAAAAGAGACTCAGAGTGGTAGGAAGGAGTAGAGCGAAAAAAAAATATGTGTAGCATTCATTGCAAGGAAACAAATTGATAACACACGTTGAAGTAAATAAATATGATCTGATAGCTATTACAAAGACATGGCTTTAGAATGATAAGGATTTAGTCCTGAACATCGAGAGGTATATGATATTCAAGAAAAATAGGAAGCTAGGTAATGATGGAGTGGTAAAGCTGTTAATTAAGCATAGCATTTGTGCAACAATTAGAGATGACCTGGTTCAGGAGATTGGAATGTATAATTGAGTGATCTAAAGATCATAACTTTAGATTTTTTTTATATTTGACTGTGAGCTGGCATGGGAAAAGGACAGCTTTAAAACGAAGGACTCTGGAAGGAATTGCTGCATTTTTAAAATCAAGTTACCGGAACACATTGTGACTTTAGTTTATACTGTTGTCTTGTAAGCAGTAGGGAAGGGGAGATAAGATGCGTACGGAGTGAGATTCAGTGAGTAACAGATTGCTGATTTGGTATTGTGCATTGTGACAAGATTGACTAATGATCTCAGAGTTAAGGCACCCTGAAGTAGCAGCAACCACAATATAATTGAATTTTGCACCGAGATTGAAAGTAGGAAGTTTGGGTCTAAGACTAGTGTTTGAAACATAAATAACAGCATGAAAGGCAAGCTATATGAAATAAACTTGTGTACTGGCTGGTGGATGGATCAACAGACATACAGTGGCAGATATTTAAAGAGATATTTTAGAATACTCAGAATAAATATATTCCTATTATCAAGAAAAATTCTTAAGTAAAGACCTGCAATCATGGCTGGTTAAGAAATTATGGAAAGCATCAGACTTCAGGAAAAGGTATACAATAGGATCCGGGTTCGATTCCCGCCTTGGGTGACTGTCTGTGTAGGGTTTGTATATTCTCCCTGTGTCTGCGTGGGTTATAGGGTAGCAGGGTGTATCTGGACAGAATGCTTTTCAAAGGGTCGGTATGGACTCGATCAGCTGAATGGCTCGGTTCCACACTGTAGAGATTCCATAAAGGACTTCACGGTGGCTCAGTGGTTAGCACTGCTGCCTCACAGCGCCAGGGACCGGGGTTCGAGTCCAGCCTTGAGCAACTGCCTGTGTGGAGTTTGCATGTTCTCCCTGTGTCTGTGGGTTTCTGCTGGGTGCTCCGGTTTCCTTCCACAGTGCAACGGTGTACAGGCTAGACGAATTGGCTGTGCTAAATAATCCCATAGTGTTCAGGGATGTGAAGGTTAGGTGTGTTAGCAATGGGAAATGCAGGGTTACAGGGAAAGCATAGGGGGAATGGTTCTGGGTGGGTCAGCTTGGATTTGAGTCAGCATGGACTTGTTGGGCCGTATGGCCTGTTTCCATATGGTAGGGATCCTATGAACTGCACAAAGATGAGTGGCAGGTCAAATGATTGGTCAGAATATAATGAATAGCAGAGAAAGTTAGATATAAGAGGAAGCTAGCAGTTAACTTCCTCAGGCAATTAAAAAAGAAAAGAATATTTAAAGTAGCCTCGAAAGAGTGAGAATGGAGAGTGACTAGGAGATAACAAGGAAATGGTGGATGAACTGAACAAATATCTTGCTTCTATCTTCACTATTAAGAATACAAAATAAAACATTACAGTAATTTTTAAATCAGGAGGTGGGATAGAAAGAGAAATGTTATGCAATTTCAATCATGAGGAAAGTGGTATGAAGCAAACTGATGACAAGTCTCCAGGTCAAGGTGGTCCTCATTGAGATAGTAGGTGTGTTGGTGTTAATTTTCCAATTTTCCCTAGATTAAGAAAAGGTTCCATTGGATTAGACAGTTGTAAATGTAAACCTTCTTTTCAAGAAGAGCTGGAGGCAGAAAACAGGAAGCTATATAGCTTGATGCCTGTCATAGGGAATGTGTCAGAGTTGGCCATTAAAGGGATTATCTCAGGGGAATTAGAAAAATTCAAGGTCATTGGCAAGGGTCAGCATGGTTTTGTCAAAAGTAAATCATGTTTAACTAAGTTATTAGAGTTCTTTGAAGGAATAAAGCATGTTGTGGATAATGGAAATCCTGTGGACATAGTATGGCTGCATTTCCAGAAGGCATTTGATAAGATGCCACATCAATGTTATAATAAAAGCTCCTGGTGTCAAGGGTAATATATCAACATGATGAAAGATCAGCTAGCTGGAAGCAAACAGCGTATGCATAGATTGGTTTTTGACTGATTTGCCAGAATGTGATGAGTGGAGTCAAAAAGAGTCTGGGCTGGGGCCTCAACTTTGTGTTTCAATAACTTTGGCGAGGCCAGCGAAGGCATGATACCTGATTTCTCAAACAGCACCAAGGTAGATAGGAAACGGTTCTGAGGAAGAGTCACTGGACCCGAAACGTTAACTCTGATCTTTCTCTTCACAGATGCTGCCAGACCTGCTGAGCTTTTCTGGCAACTTCTGTTTATGTTCCCGATTTACAGCGTGCGCAGTCCTTTAGGTTTTTATTTGTGTAGATAGGAAACTATGCTGTGAAAGAGAAACAAAGAATTTGCGGACAAGTCTGGGGAGGTTGGGCGATTGGACGGAAATCTAGCAGATAGAGTTTAATGTGAGAAAATGAGAAGTAGTTCATTTTGGCAGAAAGAATGAAAAATAGTTGAATGTTACTTAAATCCAGAATGACTACAGAATTCCAAGGGGCAGGGGGATTTGGATGTTCTGGTACACAAGTCACAAGGAATTTGGCAGGTACAGCACATAATCAAGAAGTCTAACGGGCTTCTATCCTCTATTATGAATGGAATTGACCATAGAGGTAAGGATGTTATGCTTCAGTTATACTGGGCGTTGGTGAGGCCACTTCTATGATACTATAAATTTTTGATGTCCTTATTTAAGGAAGGATGTCGGTGCATTGGTTTAGAGGATGTTTAGAAGACTGATACCTTGGATGAGGCAGTTTTCTTAGGAAGATATGGTTGGACAGGCTGAACGTGTTCCCACCGGAGGTTATACAAGTGAGGGGTGAATTCATTGAAGTATATAAAGTTCTGAACGGTCTTAAGAAAATGATGTGGAGGTGCCGGTGTTCGACTGGGATGGACAAGGTCAGAAGTGAGATGACATCAGGTTATAGTTTTATTTGAAATCACAAGCTTTCGGAGCACAGCCCCTTTGTCAAGTGAAGTGATCTTAAGAAATTGAAGAGGAAGGGATGTCTCCTGTTGCGGGTGAGTCCAGAACTTGGCACACTGATCTAAAATCATCAGTTGCTCTTTCAGGACAAAGACGAAGAGAATTTTTCTTTCTCTGGGAAGATTGTGTGACTTTGGCACACTGTCTCGAAAGTGAGTGGAGGCAGGATCATTGAATTTTTTTTTTAAGACAGGCGTAGATAGGTTCTTGAGAAAATAAAATCGAGGATTCTCAAGTGTAGGTGGGAGTGTGAAATTAAAAACACAAACCGATCAGCCACAATCCTGTTGGATGATGAAGGAAGCTCTAAGGGCCAATGAGCCTGCTTCTACTGCTATTTTATTTTATGTTGACACTCTATCATACATTCCATAAATGTTAATCTTGCTATCAACATTGGGTTTAGATAGGTGTCACTAAAATGTCTTCCTTGCTTCCAGTGATGCCATCCCCCTGTGACTCCGACCCCTGTCAGAGAGGAGGAACTTGCAATGAACAGGATGGCTCCTATACCTGTCAATGTCCACCAGGCTTCAGTGGGCAACGCTGTGAAAAAGGTCTGTTTTTATTCATTTGTTTCATCTCTTCCAGAAGTTCCAGGCATAGTCTGCAGTCTATTGATACTCGCACATTCAACATAAACTGTTCCTTCTGTTATGACACAGAGGCAGACAGATGAACCAAATCTGACTTTCTACCTCTGTATTCACAGCACAATAAAATTAAAACCTTCACATCCCTCAAAATCTACCCCAATGGATCCTAACCAGGCTATTGAATAACCAATCTCAGACTCTGTGAATGATCAATTCTCAACACCTATTTGTAGCTTAAACAAAAGATTTAATAATTGGTTAACAATGCAGTAACTTTAGCAGAGCAAAATTAAACAACAAAGTAATCTAATTTCTGATGAAGGGTCTAGGCCTGAAACGTCAGCCTTTCTGCTCCTATGATGCTGCTTGGCCTGCTGTGTTCATCCAGCTCTGCACCTTGTTGTCTCGGGTTCTCCAGCATCTGCAGTTCCTGCTATCTCTGACCCAATCTAACTGATAAGTTTGTTTAAACACAATAGCCTTTGTTTTCAGCCCCATTCATACAAAAGACAGACAGATAAACAAACACAGGCAAGGAATAAACAAAAGAAAAAAATTAAACTGTCCAGCTTACTTTGTAGTTTTCACAATGCATTGTTCCACAGGCATAGATGACTGTTTCTTTATTGTTTTTTGGAAGATGACAATCGGAGCCACCATTTCAGATAAAGGCAGAAGTACTCATAAAAGTTTCTATTCTCTGAACTTTCAAAAGCTAACAATATGAGGTTAGGCAGGGAGCTTTCAAGTTTTCATGCTGCAGTATCAACAGACAGACTCCTCCTTCACAGAAAACACTGTCCAAAATCCAGTTGGGACTCTGTCCTTTTCATGTCAGACTGACCATTTCCCCATGACGTCCCAGTTACCATTCGACATCAGCTATCTACTTGAGAATCTCTCCTAGACTTGCTGGAGCCAATTCACAGGTAACTGGCCTCAAAAATGGTCAGTATCTGCTATCTGTTTAAACAGACTGCTCTGCCCCGGTGATGAAGCATTTGGGGAAACTTCTAATCAAGATCCAACTGCAATTAATTTCCAGGTCTGGCCTCACAAACAAACTATTCTGTTCTGTTTTATTTTAGCACAAGCTGCTGCCTACAGTCGAAAAGTCATTTTCGGCTCACAGTTCTCAGTTCTAAGCTCCAAACCAAAATTGACAAAAGAATAAAATAAAAATAATGAAAAATCAGCAAGAGTTCTAAGATGTCAATCACACTCTTAGCCTTGTACAGACTGCAGTTCCCAATGTCCAATTTATTGACCAGTCTACCTTAGTTACAGTGTTCTTAAAATTCCTAGCAGGCACGACCTGGAACTGATAACATTTCAGCTCTGATTTAATAACACGGCAGCGAGAAGATATAGACAACCAGCACAGAACCTTGCAATTCCACGCTGTTACAGTGTTGGCACTGCACTGAGATTGAAATTAGGTCTGTCTGGTGTGGTAACATACAGGAACTTTTAGTTTGGATTTTTACAATGCTTAGCTTTCCCTAATAGTTCTTCATAGATCAATATAGAAATATCTCTATCTTGTGTCTAATTCTGCCTCTAACCTATGCTGTTGTACTTATTTGTAGAGGGAAGTTTGCTTTGTATCTAATCAATACTGCACCTGATGTGGTAGAGGTTTGGTGGAATTCAGCAAAGAGAATTGACTCTGTGGGTGATCCATTCACTATCTGCATGGGGAGTACTTAAAGGGCAGTTTAAAGGGAACTTTGTTCTGTAATATTATATCAAATCTGGGAGTTTAATTCTGTTGCCAAGCCCCACGTTATACTTATCGATACGATCATGTACGAAAGTTTACTTTTGTTTCCAAAACTAGTATCATACCTGACCTAGGAATGTTTGATCGACTGGTGGAGAGTGTTTTTTACTCTTTTCAATTTTTGCTGTATCTGACCAGGAATGTTTGGGTGCACATGGCAGCATTTCATCTATTCATAGCACCCGACTGATAGGCATAACACATCTCCCAAGGCATTGTTAGTTTGTAAAATGCGGTTCTAAAACAGCGAAAATCTTTTCTTTCCCTGTACACATAATGGAGAATCCACCCACGCACGCCCACAATGACTTTCAAAGTGAGAGTAAGTCATCTTCAAATAAAATAATTTTTTCTCCATTCTCTCAGAAAGACTCCGCTCTTGTGCGTCCAATCCATGCCGGAATGGTGGAACCTGTAAGGAGGCTCACGGAACTTACCAGTGTATCTGTTTGTATCGCTTCACTGGCAAGAACTGTGAAACTGGTACGTTCAGAAAATGATGTGCACCTTGCTTTTCGGAGAGTTGACTTTAAGGGTTCCATACGCTGTTTGTATACATTGCTGTGACTCATTTATCAGTTCATTTGCTGTTAATATCTGCTTCGTAACTTATTCTGTTTTATTGTTTTAAGGAAACTAACCTACGGAGTTAATCAGTTCCTGATGAGTATATGATTGTTAGACTGTTGTCATTTAATATGATACCACTGCCAGATAGATATGCAGCACATGAGGGTAAAGGGGGTCCCATTGTGAAATAAATATGCAAGGGCATGAAGACAGGCCTGCTGTGAAATATTGTGAAGTAGAACTAGTCTTACTAGAAGAATGGTGCAAGTTTAAAGAGGGTCTCTTGACCAAGATGGTTATAGCAATGCAACTCGGATATGGCTGGGATTTTCACTTTGGAATCAGTCTGTCAATGACATTAGGATTTGGGAGTAGATTTTTAAATAATTGCAGCAATATCTTTATGGAACAGTGGAAGACACCAGTATAAGTTTACACCATTGGCATAAAGATGACCTTACTCTGTGGTGTGTGTCTGGGTGTCCTGTGTCTGACTCTGACTGCTCCAACCTGTTAACAGGGCTTGTCTTGTTCTTTTCTGCATAGGTAAACCAGATCCGTGCTCGTCCAGCCCATGCCAGAACGGGGGCACCTGCTTCCATTATATTGGTAAATACAAGTGTGAATGCCCAAGAGGATTCACCGGACGGCACTGTGACACAGGTACACCAAACACAGTCTGTACAGAGAATATCAACACAATCTCCAATAGTGTAGCATTTCCCATGGTACAGCCAACCTTGTTCCCATTGACCCCTATTGGATAGAATTCCATTCGACCAAATACCTTTCTGTTGATTATTTTGGTATAAAACCCCATTGGATCAAATCCCTTTCCATTGAATCTCACTGTTAAAATCTCAATGAACGAAACTTGTTCCCTTTCACCTCTCCCATTTATGATTCCAAGACATTAACTCTTCCCAGTCACTCCAACCTTACAGAAACCCATTAGAATAGAATGCTTCCAACTTACAGTCGTACAGTTATACAGCAGGGAAACAGGCCCTCCAGTCCAACTCATCAATGCCAACTAGATATCCTAAATTAATCTACTCCCATTTTCTAGTATCTGGCCCATATCCCTATAAACCCTTCCTAGTCATATACCCATTCAGATGCTTTTTAAATATTGTAATTGTAACAGCCTCCACCACATTGCCTAGCAGCTCACTCCATGTACATACCACTCTCTGTGTGAAAAAGTTGCCCCTTATGTCCTTTTTATATATTTCCCCTCTCAACTTAAACCTATGCTGTTTAATTTTGGATTCCCCTACCATGGGGAAAAAGAACTTGGCTATTCACCTTATCCATGCCCCTCATGATTTTATAAACCTCTATAAGGTCACCCCTCAGCCTCTGACACTCCAGGGAAAATAGCCCCAGCGTATTCAGCTTCTGCCTATAGTTCAAACCCTCCAACCCTGGCAACACCCTTGTAAATCTGTATGGTACCTTAACTCCCTTGTGTCAAATCTCTGTGGGTCAAACAGCTAGCCATACTGTTAGGATGTGAATGAGAATCTTGTGATAAAATGCAAGTTCAATTCAAGTGCCACTTGAGGCTTGCTATTGATAATATTATTACAGAGACCCCACAGCTAAAATGTGAGAGTCTTTATTATGAGTTAATTCTACCCCTTGGTAGATGCTGATATCTCAGCAATGGGCCACAGGGAAGGTAGTGCTGATGTGATAATGAACTGGCCTAGTAATCCAAAGCGCTTGGCTAATGTCCTGGGGACACGGTTTTGAATTTCACCATGGCAGTTACTGAATTTTGAATTCTATACACAAAACTAGTCTAAAGGTAAAACTTGTTACCATTGTAAATTGCCATAGAAACCCAGCAGATTCACTAACATCCTTCATGGAAGGGAATATGTCAACGGTGCCTGGTCTGGCCTACGTGTGATACCAGACTGACAGTAATGTGATTGAGTTTTAGCTGCACCATTCTAGGTCATGACTTTTACCTTGATGTAAAGTGAGGAAATGAATCATCAGCAATGCTATCGAGCAACATTTGTTTAGCAATATCCTGCTCACTGGCACTCAGTTTGTTTTCCATGAGGGCCACTCAGCTCCTGACCTCATTGCAGCCTCAGTTCAAATATGGGCAAAAGAGCTGAATTCCAGAGGTGAGGTGACAGTGACAGCCCTTGACATCAAGGCTGCATTTGACCAAGTGTCCATCAAGCAGTCCCACCCCCCACCCCCATAGCAAAACTTGAGTCAACAGGAATCAGGGGGAAACCTCTCTCCTGGTTGGTATCTGACATACCTGGAACACTTGATGGTTATAGTTGCTGGAAGTCAGCCATCACAATCCAGGACATCCCTGCAGGAGTTCCTCAGGGTAGTGCCTAGCACGAAGCATCTTCAGCTGCGTTGTCAATTACCTTCCCTCCATCATAAGGTCTGAAGTGGATGATTGCCACTGTTCAACACCATTCACGACTCCTCACATATTGAAGTAGGCCGTGTTCAAATGCAGCGAGACCTGGACAATATCCAGGCTTGGGCTGACAGGTAGCAAGTAAGCCTGGGCCTCTGGATTAACACATTAACCAGTGACAATAATGCAATGCCACCAATATACACCCTGGTGGGGATCCAGGCACCCTGCATAACTTAGGTACTGTGCTGTCCAGATCAGTGCACCTGCCTTTCCTGGTTCCGCTGTTGTCTATTTGGCTGTAATGATTTTCTATATATATTAGGTATAACTAGAACATCACAAAATTAATTACTGTTATCTTCAGAGTTCTTTGAGTCTCAAGCATTGGTGATCACTTTCTAAACTGTAAATATTGCGCTGGGTGACATTATCATCTAAAACTTGTCTAGATTTTGTCAGCAGTGTTATCTTCTAAGTTTACAAATCCCTGGCAGTGAATGAGCCCCATTCTTCTCCAGATAAATACCGACAAGACCAAAAGCCGTCTTCCTCCCTGACATTAATCCCATGCCATTATCAACAATATATTACCTTCACCGGCCGCTCTCTCAGTGTGGAACCTCAACATCCTATTTGACCCCGAACTGGGTTTCTGACCCTCTTTCACCCCGCTTCTGTTTCCTGCCTTCAGCCTAGTAGCACTGAAACCCTAATCTGAGCAGTTGTCACCTCCATGTGGCCTTTATCTTTCACCCATCATCCGTGTCACCTCATCCAAACCTGCTGTGAATGTGTCCACACCAGATTAGTTCACCACTGTCTGCACTGGCCCTCTCTCTCCTGAAACCTCACATTTTATATCTTATCTTCATGTTCATTTTGTACGTGGCCTTCTCCATCTTTGCACCTTACTTGTAGCCCCTCCCCTAGATATAATTATTTATATCCGCATGACGTTGTTTCTGTCAATGACCCAGCTAACTGTTCGAAAGCCATACCCATCCAATGAGCCCCTCTGTGCATCTTGTTTCTTTAGAGGTGGACTGTGGGATCCCCAGCGAGGTGAAACATGCTGAGGTGCTCATCTCTTCGACCAAGTATGGCTCGGTCGCTCAGTACGTTTGTGAAGCGGGATACGGAGTACAGCCGAGCCCAGGAGAAAGTACCTGTCGATTGGATGGAAGATGGAGTGAAGCACCAACCTGCGAGGGTGAGTGAAATGGTCACACCACCGACGTATTGGGTATCCCTCCTGAAAAGTATCTGAGAAGTAGCAAATACTTCAGTGCGAGTTACAGGCTAAAGGTACCTTTTATTTCCCTCGCAGGCCTGGCTGGGCCAGCAATTATTGCCTGTCCCTAATTACCCTTGAGAAGGTGGTGGTGGTCTACGTTCTTGAACTGCTGCAGTCCCCGTGTTGTAGGTAGATCCACAATACGTTTAGGGAGGGAGTTCTAGGATTCTGATCCAACGACACTGAAGAAATGGCAATATATTTCCAAATCAGCTACTTGAGTAGCTTGGAGGGGAATTTGCAGGGGATGGTGTTCCCATATATCTGCTGCCTTTGTCCTTCTGGATGGAAGTGGTCGTGGGTTTGGAAGATGCTGTCTGAGGATCTTTGGTGAGTTGCTGCCTGGGTGAGGCTAAGTGGATTTAAATATTGAATAATGAATACCTTGGAGTGAGGTGCAGGCTGCAGTCTCATTGAGGGGTGTGTGGTTCAAATATTGAACAGTGGAAACTGAGAAATGAATTGCATGTGCTGGAATCTAATCAAGTGGTTCGGTTGGTTTATGCATGGAATTGTGGATAATCAGGTACTGAATTTAATCATGGGGTCTTGTTCTCTCCTCCTGTTTCAATGTACACATTAAAGCTGTTAATTTTCTCAGCACCTAATTTAACCACCTTTTACCTATTTTTACCTAGTCCATTTCTAAATTTACGGAGCAGACATTTCTCAGTATATTTTGTGGCTGGAATAGCGTCTGCTCGAGTGTATTTTTGCTTATTCCAATGCTAAAGCAGCACTAATTTTGCTTACTTCTTACATGGTTGAAGAATTAATTTCCATGACCTCATGACACTACTAATGTTCCACCTTTCTTTTTGTTCTTTTTACCTCTGACTGACCCTTCTTCCTTCATGTCTGGTATATTGACCAAAGTGTTGGGGAGTTCAGTGGATAATGCTGACACCATGCACATAGTGCAGGGTTCACATTTAGCTTATTGAGTTTTACAGAGCTGTTCTGATGTTAATGAGGCTATTGATGTGCCCAAGAGTTTATTGGGCTTTGTGCAGTGGACATTGCGCAAGGGAGAGATTGGGCAAAAGAGAAAGCTCAAAAGGAGCGAAAGTAACCTGTTTGATCCTTCAAGTTTTTTTCATCATTCAAAAGAATCATAAATGATCTCTTATCTCAAATGTACCTTCCCACACAATCCCTATATCCTCTGATTCCCTTACAATCCAAAAATTTATCACCCCCTAGCTTAAGGATAAAAATGCTTCTACAACTTCTCTGGGGCAGAGAATTCCAACAACTCAAAATCCCTTTGAGTGAATAAGTTTGTCCTCATCACAATCTTAGATGGCTGACCCCATTTCCTGGCATGGTCACTCGTGTCCTTGCTTCATCAGACAGTAGACACATTATCCTGGCATCTATGCTGTCAAGCCCATGAAGAATTTTGTATGTTTCAAATGGATCACCATATGTTTAAAGCTCAGTTGACTTGTGAGTATTTTTTACACTCCTTCTAAGGCAAGAGTATCCTTCCTTAAGGATACTGTAAAAACAGTAAACAAAACTTCAGATGTGGTTTCAACAATATCTCACATCGTAGAACCTCCAGTTTGGAAGCAGGCCATTCAACCCATCAAGTCCAAACCAACCCTCCAAAGGGTATCCCACCCAATCCCACCGCATCCTTGGGTTTTCCGTGGCTATTCCGCCAAACCAGGGACACTACGGGCAATTTGGTATGGCCAATCCACCTAGCCTGCACATCTTTGGACTGTGAGAGGAAACCAGAGCACCCAGAGGAAACCCACACAGACACAGGGAAAACATGCAAACTCCACACAGTTGCTGAGGGAGGCGATGGCCTAGTGGTATTATTGATGGACTGTTAATCCAGAGACTCAGATACCGTTTTGGGGCCTGGGTTCAAATCCCGCCACGGCACATGGTGGAATTTGAGTTCAATAAATATCTGGAATTAAGAATCTAATGATGACCATAAATCCATTGTCAATTGTCAGGAAAAACCCATCTGGTTCACTAATGTCCCTTAGGGAAAGAAACTGCCATCCTTACCTCGTCTGGCCTACCTGTGACTCCAAACCTACAGTAATGTGGTTGACTCTTAACTGCCCTCTGGCAATTAGGGATGGGCAATAAATGTTGCCTAGCCAATGATGCCCTGATCCCATAAATGAATAAAGGAATTGAACCCAGGTCCCTGGTGCTGTGAGGCAGCAGTGCTAACCACAGAGCCACTGTGCCACCCCAGTTATTGTAGTAAAACTTATTTCCCTGTATAATCCAATCCTTTTGCAATATAGCATGGTATTATCATTTTGACTTGCTTGTATCTCCATATGATATCACTGGGATTTGTGCACAAGGGTTCTGTGATCTCTCTAAATGTAAAATGTTTGCCAGTCTCTCAACATTTTCAAAATATTCAGCCCTTGTACTTTTCCAACCAAAGTGGATAACTTCACATTTCATCGCATTATTTTCAAGCTGCCCACTGCCCAAGTGCAAATGCTTGTGTAGTATCTCTACGTCCTTCTCACGGCTTACTCTACCACCTACCTCTGCAACATCAGCAAACTTGCAAATATTACTGCAGGTCCCCTCAAATAAATCTCTGATGTAGACTGTAAATAGCTGAGGTCAAAAGGACCGATCTTATAGGTGCACACTAGTTACAGTTGACTAATCTGGAAATGTCCTGTTTGTTCTTACTCTCTGCTCTTGACATCAACCATTTCTTAAACCAATTTAACACATTGTCCCCAATACTATGAGCCTTAATTTGTGTAAAACTCTATTTTATGACAACTTATCGAAAGATTTTTGAAAATCGAGATACATGAATTCCATGGTTCTCCCTTCCCTGTGCTACCACTTACCACTCAGAAGGTCCTGAGGGATTTTGGAAAAGTGGCTTCGGAAATCCATATTGACTCTGTCCGATCATATTATGATTTTGTAAGATCCTTGCTACTATGTGCCAAATAACACTTTTCCCTACTAATGATGTCAGGTCAACTGGTCTTTATTTGCCCTGTTTCTTTCTCACTCCCTGCTGCGTGAACAGCAGGGTCCCAATTGTTACTTGCCAATCTAAGGAGGCTGTTCCAAAATCTAGAAAATTCTGGAATTGCAAAACACATACAGCCTTTATTTCTGTGGCCAAACCCTTGAATGCAGAATGCCAGGTCCAGGACATGAATCAAGTTTTATTCCCATCAATTTATTCAGAGCTTTCTTTTCCTAGACCTTTGTTTCTCCACAACTTCCAGAACTTTGTTTTTGTGTTCTATCACGAAGTTTTTGTTTAGTATCTGTGACGTTTCCTTGTTCCCTTGTTCATGGGATGACAGGTTGTCCTGTCAGGAGAGACGGAGGAGACTGGGACTGTGTTCTTCAGAGTTTAGAAGAATGAGAGGTGATCTCAATACAGCATATAACATTTTTCTATGTTCCAACAGGGTAGGTGCAGGAAAGGTGTTTCATCCAACTGGGGTGTGGGGGGGAATTAAAGAATCTAAAACGACCAGGCGCTGTCTCAGAATAAAGCCTTTATAAGCAAGATGAGGAGGAATTTCCTAATTCAGCGGTGACGTATCTTTGGAATCCCAAAAGGCTTTGGAGCCCAGACGGTGAATATATTCAAGACAAAGATTTCTAGATATTAGAGACATGGGATAATGCAGAAAATGGCATTGAGGTGGAAGATCAGGCATGGTATGGTTGAATGGTGGAGCAAGCTCACTGGGCCAGACAGCCTACCCTTGCTCCTATTTTCTGTGTAGCTACCTTCATGACAATATTGAATAATGAAGTAAATGAGAAACAGTGTAAAGCCTCCTCTAATTGTTTCAACAGCCTTAACAAAAAAAGTCACTGCTGTAGATATTTTTGATGTGGAAGTGCCGGTGTTGGACTGGGGTGGACAAGGTCAGAAATCACACGACACCAGGTTATAGTCCAACAGGTTTATTTGAAAACTCAAGCTTTCGGATCGAAGTTCTCAGCCAAGGACTCAATTTGTGCCCCACCCCCAAAATGGACCCCGTTGGTCTCATGGCAGACACAGAGGAATTCATCAGATGAATGAGACTCTTGGAATTCTTCCAAGATGTCAGCAGTGAGCCCAATGAGACAACCAACAAACCGGATCAGTCAACAGAGAGATCAATCAGGGAGTGGGCAAAGAAAGAATTGAATTAGACCCCTCCAGAGGGCCATTGCCCAGGGCTTGTCAGGTATGCTCAAGCCATCAGAGAATGTGTGAACACCAGTTTTATCAGCCGCACTGACAAGGTAGTGCAAAACATCACCCAGACACTAAGCAATGCCATCCTTGCTTTCAAGACCAATCGCAACATTGTCGTCAAACCAGCAGACAAAGGAGGAGCCATTGTCATACAGAATAGAATGGACTACTGCAGGGAAGTGTACGGACAGCTGAACAACCAGGAACATTACAGACAATTACCTGCCGATCTGATCAAAGAACATACCCGTCAACTGAACAGACTGGCCAAGACTTTTGATCCAGTCCTTCAGGTTACCCTAAGCACTCTCATCCTGCGTACTTCCTGCGTAGGGAACTTCTAAAGATACACAAAGCCAACACACCCGGATGTCCCATCGTATCAGGCAAGGGGACCCTGTGTGAGAACTCTCTGGCTATGTCAAGCACATCTTAAAACCCATTGTACAGGGAACCCCCAGCTTCTGTCACAACGCTACAGATTTCTTACAGAAAGTCAGCACCCACGGACCAGTCGAACTAGGAACATTCCTCGTCACAATGGATGTTTCATCACTCTACACCAGCATCCCCCTCGACTACAGTATCACTGCAACAGCCTCAGTACTCAATACCACCAACGGCCAATTTCCAGGCACCATCCTACAACTCATCCGCTTCATCCTCAAACACAACGTCTTCGCCTTCGACAACCGGTTCTTCATCCAGAAAAAACGGAACAGCCATGGGGACCAGATTCACTCCCCAATATGCCAACATTTTCATGCACAAATTCAAACAAGACTTGTTTTGCTGCACAGAGCCACCGACATTTGCTAAACAACAGATACATTGACAACATTTTCTTCCTTTGGACTCATGGTGAGGAATCACTGAAACAACTACATAGCGATATCAACAAGTTTCATCCCACCATCAGGCTTACCATGGACTACTCTTTAGACTCAGTCTCATTCTTGGACACACACATCTCCATCAGGGACAGACACCTCAGTAACTCACTCTACCACAAGCCCATGGATAACCTCATGATGCTGCACTTCTCTAGCTTCCACCCGAAACACATTAAAACAGCCATTCCCTACAGACAAGCCCTACACATATGCAGGATCTTTTGTGATGAGGAGGAACAAGACGGACAACCTTTGTAAGGATGCCTTCATAAGAACAGGATACGATGCTCAACTCAACGATCGCCAGTTCCAACGTGCCACAGAGAAAAACCATAATGACCTCCTCAAGAGACAGACACGGGATACGTCCGATAGGGTACCCTTCATCATCCAGTACTTCCTGGGAGCGGAGAAACTACATCATGTTTTTCGCAGCCTTAAGCACATTATCGATGACAATGAGCACCTCGCCAAGATCTTCCCCATGCCTCTACTTGTCGCCATCAAACAGCCGCCAAACCTTAAACAGACCATTGTTTGCAATAAACTACCCAGCCTTCAGGACAACAATGACCACAACACCGTACAACCCTGTCATGGCAACCTCTGCAAGACATGTCAGATCTTTGACGTGGATACTACCATCACATGTAGGAACACCACCCACCACGTGCACAGCAGATACTCATGTGACTCGGCCAATGTTGTCTATCTCATACACTGCAGGCAAAGATGCCCCGGGGCATGGTACATTGGCAAAACCATGCAGACTCTACAACGGATGAATGGACACTGCACAACAATCGCCAGACAGGAATGTTCCCTCCCAGTGGGGAAACACTTCAGCGGTCAAGGATATTCAGCCTCTAATCTTCGGGTAAACGTCTTCCAAGGTGGACTTCGGGATACACAACAACGCAGAGTCGCTGAGCAGAGGCTGATAGCCAAGTTCAGTAACCATGTAGACAGCCTTAAACGGGATCTTGAGTTCATGTCACACTACAGGTGACCCCACCACACTATACACTCTACTCTCTCTCTCTCTCTCTCTCACACACACTCACACACCCATACACACACTCTTTCTCCCTCTGTCTCAGACACACACACACACACACACACACACACACTCCTCACACACATACACACCCACACATAAAAACTCTCTCTCTCTCTGTCTCTCTCTGTCCCCCCCTCACACATTCACTCTCTCTTCCCCCCTCATGCACGCATGCATGTGAGTGCACACACACACACATAGACACACACACACTCACACACGCATACATGTGAATCTGTGAGGTGAATTTGTATTTGCAGATACATTTTATTTTGTTCAAAAAGCACACAATTTATAGATAGTCAAGTCAATATGGCAGTCTATAAATTCCTACTTTAGAAATAAATCCAGTCTGACTCCAAACCAAAACACAAACAGATTCTAAGCAAGGCCTCACACCTAACATGCATTGTCTGACCTAAAATTTCACCTCTGCTTTACGCTGATAAAACCTTTAGTTCTCTCAGGACAGTGACTTGAAAGGAATTCAAGGATTTATATTTACATATTAATCAATTAAAAAGTTCTAACTGATGACAGATTTAACAGCATCTTGAGTTTCTTTATTACATCCTCACCAATGGCATGAATTTTTGATCTTTTACTTATAAACTCTGTGTCTGATACTACTTTTCTCACTAATACCTGACGTAGGACTGGGGCTCCGAAAGCTTGTGTTTTCAAATGAATCTGTTGGACTATAACCTGGTGTCATGTGATTTCTGACCATGTAGATATATTTAATTAACCTCTGTCACGGTACACCCCTGGAGCAGGTGGGACTTAACCCAGACCTTCTGGTCCAGAAGTAGGTGCAGACGCTGCCTATTGATTAATATTTGACCTTTAAATCAGCACAATTCTGTTTGTATCCATGGATTTGCAGTCTGCTTCAGTCTGTGGTCAGAATTCACGTTTCACACATTTCCTCACGTGTAAACCTTGATTACCATTCAAATAAAAGAAACATACTGTGGAAGCTGGTAATCTGAAATAAAGACAGAAAAAGGGGTGGCACAGTGGCTCAGTGGTTAGCACTGCAGCCTCACAGCACCAGGGACTCGGGTTCGATTCCACCCTCAGGCGACTGTCTGTGTGGAGTTTGCACATTCTCCCTGTGTCTGCGTGGATTTCCTCCGGGTGCTCCGGTTTCCTCCCACAGTCCAAAGATGTGCAGGCTAGGTGCCACAACGATGCCACCCGTAGGTTGCAGGAACAGCAACTCATATTCCGCTTGGGAACCCTGCAGCCCAATGGTATCAATGTGGATTTCACAAGCTTCAAAATCCTCCCTTCCCAAAACCAGCCCAACTCGTCCCCGCCTCCCTAACCTGTTCCTCCTCCCACCTCAAGCCGCACCCCCATCTCCTACCTACTAACTTCATCCCACCCCCTTGACCTGTCCGTCCTCCCTGGACTGACCTATCCCATCCCTAACTCCTCACCTTTATCGGCTCTGTCCCCGTCTCTTCGACCTGTCTGTTTCCTATCTTCTATCCACCTCCCTATTTATTTCAGAGCCCCCTTCCCCTCCCCCATTTCTGATGAAGGGTCTAGGCCCAAAACGTCAGCCTTTCTGCTCCTATGATGCTGCTTGGCCTGCTGTGTTCATCCAGCTCTGCACCTTGTTGTCTCAGACTAGGTAGATTGGCCATGCTAAATTGCCCGTAGTGTTCAGGGATGTGTAGAATGGGGGATGGTTCTGGGTGGGATGCTGCGAGGGTCTGTGTGGACTCGTTGGGCCGAAGGGCCTGTTTCCACACTGTAGGGATTCTATGATCTATGAATGCTGGGGAATCTCAGCTGGTCTGGTGGTATCTGTAGAGAGAAGGAAACATTTAATGTTTCAAGCCCAGTATGACTCTTATTCGTAACTGAGCAGAGCTGGAAGATGACTTTTATTTAATGCTGTTGACAAAGAGTGACGGGGGACAAGTAGAACAGAGGGTGAGAGTAACCAGAGTAAATGATAAAAAGAAGTGTTAAGATTTAGGTGCTAAATAGTAATGTCCTGTTTCTTTGTGTTGTGCCAGTTGTGAATCCCTGTGTTCTTAATCCCTGTGGTGCCCGTGGTTTCTGCCGCACGGTGAATGAATCATACATCTGCACTTGTAAAGTTGGATACTCAGGAAAACACTGTGACGCAGGTAAGGGGCAAGTGGTAAGGACTCACCAGTGAACCATTCGTACAGGTACAAGCAAAGGGCAAGTGGTAGAGCCTTAATATATGGAGCTAGACTATCGCTGCAGGCAGTAAATGAGTTGGGACTGACAATCAGTACAGGCATGAGAGGAGGTAGTAGTGACAGACAATCGTTACAGGCATGAGAGGAGGTGGGAGTGACAGACAGTCAGTACAGGCACAAGATGAGGTGGGACAGACAATCGGTCACGCAGGAG